CCAAACTTGTAAGTGCTGCAACCATTACTCCACAGAAGCAATGAGCAAAAATAGCAGATTTTTAGCAGAAATACATACACTCTTTTCCTGTTCCTAGTTTCCTGTTATCCAGTGACACTCAGTTGATAATTTTATGATTTTTTTCTTTTAGTGAAGTAGTGTTTATTTCATAAGCATAACTAACAAAAGATTTCAGCAGCTATTGTCAAGTATTTCATTGTCCTAAAGAACATCAGTATACAGACGTACTATGTTAACCTCTTTAACTGCAACATCCTTTATTTTTGAATCTTAGGCTTTTCTGAAACAYTCGTAAATGTTAACAGATCTGATTAAGATGCTGGCTGTGTCACCACCAGATGTCCATTGTCCCAGCTGCAGAAAACAGTAAGYTCAAATACTTGGCCATCTATTAACATGTGCCTAACCTTAGGCACTCATCTTTAAAATAAGTGCACCCAGTTTTCATACCCTGGACTTGGGCCACTTTTAATGTAAGGCTGATGAAAAACCACCTTCTTGGGAAGCTTTCCKAGTGGCAGAGATGGGAATGAAGCCCAAAACTACTGATACTTRTATTTCTATCTCTCGCTTCACACGCTTCTCTCATATAGTCGCCCTCAAACTTTGCAACTTAAAATACTAATAATCAAAAGCAAACATTTGTAAAATCAAGAAAGCTTTTCACTGCCATTTTGCTTGGATAAAGCAATGCTTATATGTGTATTTCTACTATGAACAAAAAAGGGAACGTCCTTAACTGAATTTAAAGAAAAGAAAAAAAAAAAGTAGCAAAGTCATTCAAAAGCCAAAGGCCTTGAGTCACAATCACAGAACGGTTAAGGTTGGAAGGGACCTATAGAGATGATCTAGTCCAACCACCCTACTCCAGCAGGGAGACCCAGAGCACGGGGCACAGGGTGGCAGCCAGGCGGGTTTTGAAGACCTCCAGAGAAGGAGACTCCACAGCCTCCCTGGGCAGCTTCTTCCAGGACTCTGTCACCCTCACARGACATGTTTTTTCCTTATATGGAGRTGAAATTTCCTGTGTTTCAATTTGCACCCTTTACCCCTTGTCCTGGTCACCACTGAGAGGAGTTTGGGCCCCATCTTCCCTACATTTTCCCCCTATCTAAGACTACATCTTTTACAGTTCAGAAGTGGCTGTAGGTGACCTTGATAGATACTTCTATATTCAAGCTGGTCAGTATGTTTTAAATTTGAGCCAGGAAAGTCCACTAACTTCTTACTTGGGTTCACACATGCCCATAAGAGGAGCATTAAATATTAGTATCTAATAAGGCCATATGTTTATCTATTTCTGAAGTATACATTAGGCTTCTGATAATAAAAAATGCAACCAGTGTATCTTCTTGCAGTGAACTATTTCTATTAATGATTTAACTATTTTGAGCACACAGTGTCTGTAAGAAGCATTAGTGGCACCAACCCTCAGTACAACTCTGACCATGGTTAGCAACAGTACATATTCTGCAAAGAGCACTAGGAAACATTAAGTTTTGCAAAATAATGTTTGGGAAGTCCACTTAACTGGCATGAGAGGACAGGCTATTGAGGCAATTGAAACTTTATGAAGAAATAGTGCTTTTTATGAGCATTCCTAAATATGGTCTTCCAAAAGATTTGTGAAATCACTTGCGTTGATGAGGTCTCATCTCAGGGCTTCAAGAAAGTGTYTCAATTCACTCTACGATTTTAAATCCAACAGATTAAACACACTGATTTAAACACAGGGACACCATTCCAAAGAAAGGAGGAGTACATGAAGATAAACACAAGTACCTTTTATATTGAAGCTTTTCAGTTTAACATGAGTTATGCATCTGAAGATGTATTTTGTCTAAGAAATATCACCCCATCTGCTACAATGGACAAAAAACCCACCTGTATCTAGACAATCTACACAGCTGGAGTCTTTTCAGACCCACATATTGAAAGGAGTATAAACCCACTGCTGTAGGTAGCAGTATATGCAAGCATATGGACACTCTTCTACCTCATTTTGCAAAGAACATCAGTCTCCACATTAACATCTCAGCTAGCACTAGTACTTCATATATTTAATGGAATCCTAAGTCTCCTCAGCACTTCAAGCCTTCTCCTGGCACTCTTACCCCTTACCTCAGCAAGTCTTGAAGAAATCATTGAGCAATTTGCAGGGACTGGAAGTGAGCAACATTGATGACTGCTCTGTGTGGATATTAGCTATGCCAGGACTCATTTAATATGACAAACTCCTCATTCTTATGAAGTTGTGCAAAGCAATGTGTGCCAGATGACTTCTGCCTTCCTCCCTGGAGACAGCTACTAAGCCAGCTCTAAACAGCCACAGCTTTAAGACCACCTTCTTCTGGAAGCATCAGAGTCAAAACACTTCCATGGCCTCCAGACAATTTAAYTCCCTCTTTAATCTTTTTAAAGAGAAAAGAGAAAGAACGTGAAAAAGAAAACAAAAAAAGCCCTAGTGACATCAGGAAGCAGTAGAAGCCTCCAGGGAGCCTCTTCCAGCTTTCTTGTCCTGCTCATCTGTCTGAACCAGGAGACAGCTCACTTCAAAGCTGCAGTACAAGTGAGAACTTCCCTCCTAACTCTTGCAAGGAAGACTGTATGGTCCAGTAGCATCAGGCACAAGGATATTTGGCCACTGCTCCTAAAATGTTTCCCTAACAGCAGGCCAAAGAAAAGCAGGGGAAAGATGGCTTTTTTCTCCCCTAATAGGCCAACTCACGCTTTCCTTACTGAAAAAGTTAACACAATTAATGTGAAGAAAAACTAGACCAGAGAATGACAGACAAGAACTGACTTCTACACCTTCTCTTATTAAAAAATAAAAACATAAAGAGAACACCTTGTTATTCGCCTATAGCCTATAGAATACTAAGCCCTACATACTCTGGAGCTGGCCAGAAGCCTAACAAAACGGGATCCACCCCATCCTTATTGGCTTTATATAGATAGGTACAGAAATACACAAAGTTCGGATGATTCATGCACTCTGGAATGAAGGGCAGCAGCGCAGCTCTCCTTAAGCAGAGACATTCATGGGAGAAGGCAAGAACGACCGAGAACTCTTAAGGGGTTCAGAGAAGCAGCAAGAGCCTTTTCTTTTTAGCTGCAGTAAAGAAATAACATTACTGGAAAAGGAGGTAGACAGCCTCCCTGCACATGGCACAACTACAGGGCAAGCCACAGTATCAAACTTACAAGATCATCAAGGTAGAAATAAAAGCCTGGAAATTATGCTTTTTACAAGCTAAGAAACGCTCTCAACCCAYAGGCAAATCCTAAAGTACTACTGTGGAATTTAAATGCAATAGGAGCTTTTGGTTTTTTTTTAAATCAGTGTTAATATATTAAACATTTTTCTTAAAAGCACAAGTGACACCTCAGTGTTTTAATGAAAACATTACTGCCAAAATGGACCCTTCCCCCCCCCCCCCCCCCAAAAAAAACCCATAAAACCCATAAAAAAAAAAAAAAGAAGAGCTATAGAAGTTTCAGAATATTTGGAAACTCATCTCAGGATGCTCTAGTTTCTAAGATCAAAATAAGATTTTTTTCCTCCAAGGTTTTGATCTCAGACAGATTGGTGGTATCAGTCAAGATATAAACAGTCTTTAGTCTTTTTAAGAACAGAAAAAAAATGTTACCACCATCAGTACCTTTTTAGCTCTGTAAAACTGTAAATTTAAGGCTATTAATATAACTTCTCACAAAAACTTAGCAGAAAAAACAATACCGCATTAGACTATTATGTTATTTTACAGACTCAGAATTCATTTAGTATATTTTTGTATGGCACTAATGAGTTGCCAGTTCTACTAGTTGAACAGTTATACACATGTCTAACCTTCAGAAGCTGGGGCAGCYGTATGTCAAACGCTTGTGGTTTCGCCACTTGGTATTTTGGGTGTATGTCTTCGTTTGTGATAATAAATATCAGGCCACAAACGAATGTCTCCTCAGATATCTAATATGTTTAACACTCAAAACAGCTTGAAAATCTAAACATTTCTGCTGTTAGCTTTGAGTTCTCCTCAAAGAATTATGCTACAATACATACCAGATGAACAGGCTAGTGATAACACAACTATTGCCAGTTGTTAGGATGAGTTTCTCTAAGATTTTTTTTATTCTGAAATATACACAAGTTTCATTCTCCTCCTGACCACAAATGTGTGAGCTTGAAAATCTAAATCTACATCTAAATCATCTAAAGGGTGAAAATTTAAGAGCAAGTCACTCCTAATAGCATCCTATACTTAAACATGCACAAAGAGAAATTTGTACATGASAAAAATCAGGTGGAATAGCATTATGTTCTTAAAATGTCAATTAACAGGTTCCAACATTATTTTTATATAGTAATTCTGTAAATAGCCAAGTTCAACTCTACAGTAATTAAAAAAAGCCAAAGAGAGGAATAGATGAATTAGAGCCTCAGTCTCTCATTTAGAGCTCCTTAACCACAGCATTACATCTTCTGTATGCTGTATATGATGTGCTTATATAGGATATGCAGTACTACATCTGTTAGCTCTCGCTTTTTCACCACCGCTTTTTCAGTCAGGAGAAACTGCTGTAGTTTAAACAAGGCCACTAGTGTCCTACTTCTCAAAATTTCATAATACTCTCACAATACACACCTGAGAGGAAGAACTTTTGTTAGGTCTTTTAATGACCTGAAGAATTAGCATTATAGCTGACTAAAGCAAGAGGATGCATCTCACAGGGCCAGCTTCTTACTGAAAAGAGAACAAAACACCAGAATTCCAAATGGAGCAGCACTGAATACAGTTTTATTCAGCATTACTAAAACCACATCCCCCTCAAATAAAACATGAGCAATGACTGTTATGTCCTCTCTTACCAGCGTCTTAAAGACATGCAACTTCAGACCTGCAAAGGAAAAACTGTGTGTATGCACACACCAATACATACATACATTTACATATATATATCTATATATATGTACCCATACACAAAGCCAGGCAGTAGGGTCAAGTCTTTCTTTTTGCAATTATATTACCCTAGTTGTCTCCAATCAAACTAATGCTCCAAGACCAGAACTATCACATTAATGGTTACTTTTCTTTATTACCTACAAAACCTTTCCTGGCCAAAATAATAAAGACTGTATAGGAGCCCGATAACTTTACAAGGTGACAGCATTTCTGTGTTTATTGTAAGCCATTTCTACTGCGAATTGCTAACAACTTTTCAAAGTGCAACACTGATTTGGAAATGCAGGCGCACTAATACACCAATTGCCATGACTAATGTATAAACTTTTAATAACCTTGGCAAAATCCATCTTTCATTGGGCAGGTGCCACTATTTTGACTGTGCAAATGTTTTGGAAATATGTTGAAAGTTATACATGTTTTGGAAAATATTTCAGGACTTCAGAATAGTGAATGAAGCTGTATTAAATAAAAGGTTCAAGTGGAGGAGAAAATACACCCCAAACCCATGCAAGTCTCTACTTTCCTTAAAACAAGGAGAGACATTCTCTGACTGTTGTACATTCACAGAATGTTGACTTTTTAATCCAAAAAAAGTAAGGTAAAACTTGATCTTGAATGGTTTTCACTTTCAAGCATCAGTCACTGTCACTTTCTTGTTTCAGACCAGCTCCTTGTTCAACATTACTCTCTCCATCACTCTCCTTGTCCCAGTCTTTCATAGATGCTCCCATCATGAAGTCATCGCGCAGTATATTCCATTCTGGTCCCTCTTCAGACTTGGTTTCACCCTAAATATTTCAGGGGAAGAGAGGGAAATGAGACCAATGTGAAAAGGTGGCAGTGAAAAGAGGGAAGTTCTTCAAGCAGTCGAAACATCTCACACTTTCAAAAATCTGCACTGACACACCAAAGGCTAAGATATTCATGCAAATTGATATATAAATATGCAGGACAATCAAAAGTGATGCTAACAAGAAAACTTAATTTAACCAACTAATAAAAGAATATGGAAACAAAACAGTTATTGCTCATGGATGAAACAGTCAACCCTGGGCATGGCTTCCTTTATTAAAATCTTTCTTGGCAATCAAAATGGATTCATGATATCATTTATTAACCCCCAGGTGCTGCTTCATTAGAACAGTTCTTGGCACATTTCTACAACACAAATATGGACTTAATAAAGGCTTAAAAACTCCAAATTTAATATTTAACATATTTTGTGATATGTATACCAAATCCCCTTTATGTGGATTATTACCTCACTACCTGGGCTTGTCATATGGTGCAAAGCTGCCTCTAAAAGAAACTGAAAGTTGATCCACACTCAGCAAGCCAACAGCACCTTATTCCAAATTTCCTACTTCTTGAAAGTGGACACACTGAGGCCACACTACATTGACTGGTGGATAATAAAGAAAAGCAGTAAAAGCTTAGTTTTTGTTAGGACTCAAAACACTGCTAGAATGCAGTTCGAAGTGACAGAAGGTATTTGGGCAGTGCAACAGCCCCATCCTGTGGCAACAGTCTTAAAGCACAGTATGAAGTAATTCCTACATTCTTAATGTTATGTGCCGTGATGTGCAACGTTTCCCACATTCTTAATGTAGGAAAATACTCAAAATTGTTCCACATACGAATAGAGTATTTAAGTGGTTTGAGTCCTAGTACCAAGTATTTCTCATGAACAACATGGCTTAATGCACAGTAAAAAAACAAACATTTCTACCAAACACTAACCAGGTGCACTGGAAAAAATATTTTACTCTTATAGGCCCTTTGAAACAGATTTATACAGGCATCTCAGTGCTTTTCCTGCTCTCCCTGCTCAAAACAACAGGATTCAACTGCCTCATCACAGTCTATGCAACTGCCACCCGCTGATGGTGGACAGGGATAATCTGTTATGGCATCTCTGTGTTAATACTGCCTGATTAAAAACAGTAATTGAAACAGAGATGCCTCTCAGTGAGATGCCTTGGCAGATGTCTCTTTGCCTACTGGATGCAAAAACTGCAGTAATGATGATGGCTGCAGACACTGCTCATGCCTCTTCTTTGTACAGCAGATCCAGAGCAGAAACTTTTGTTTCCACATTCTTCTATTAGTTGAAGCAAGTTATTAGCATCATTCTGTAGTCCTGTGAACACGCAATACATTAAACATATTAAACTCATATTCATGCTATCTCTGGAACAAAGTAGCATAAAGAATTAAACAGCAAGAGAAATCAGAAATAGAAAATGCAGATCCATCGCTRTAAATCGAACATGACACACTAACAGAAGCTATATGGGTGAAAGAAGTCTGTCAGCTAAACAGGACATGTGTTTTTAACAGCCATTCAAAACAGAAAAAAAAAATTCATTTTGAGATGTGACCTGTTCTCCAGTTCTTTAAAGTGATTTCTTTCACAAAAATAGGACAAACCTTAACACCTTACTTCCCCAAAGGAATCTCCCAGGTCTCCTAGGCCAAAACCAGAGCACTTCTACAACTGTTCCTCAAGATGCTCACACGTGTTTTGGGGTTTTTTTTTTGTTTTTTTTTTTGTTTTTTTTTTTGTTTTGTTTTGTTTTGTCTTGAGCTGTTCTCGTTAGTGTGTGTTCCTAAGGATAACTCTCCCATCCCCTGAAGCAATGAAAAACAACAATACCTTGTTTTCCTCTTAAAAATCACCATTACCTATATGGGCCACTGTGCAAAATTGAAAAATCCAAATGAATATCCAGKTTTTTTTCTTTTTTTTTAATTCATCTTTTTCTGAAATGTCAAATAATAATCTGGGGAACACCGGACATGCCACATTTATCCACACATGTAGGGCTTTTTTGTTTATTTACTTTTAAAATAACAGGACACAAGCAGTACGTTACGATCAGCAGTGACAGTGAAGTGCTCAAACGTGAAAAACTCCAAAGCTCAAATTCATCAAGGAAGAGTTTAGTCCTGCTTCCCAGCTAGGTCAGGAGAACAAGAGGACAAAGGCAGGACCTCAACAAAAGGGTCATGCTGATCCGACACAGCATTACACAYTATGCAATGAGCTGCAAAGGTTTATACAGGCACTGAGGAGAGAGACAGAGGCAGCATGTCTGTGCCTGAAAGATGGAGATTAAACGCTTGAAAGCAAATATTTAATCMATTTAAAGCATGCTGCCAAGTGAAGGAAAACCCATGTTTTGCATCTTCATTCCTAACTCATCTACTGCTCTATTTTCTACTAGAATAGAAAATACCAAGTCTTTTGCATTGCAAAAAAATTCTGGTCTTAACAAAATATGCAACAAGACTATTTGTATAATTAACAATTAGTCCAACTGTAGTATCACTTCCCAGCTCYTTTTATTTAAGAATGTTAATATACTTGGGTTTTCAATGCCATAATCTAGTTCATCTAAATAAAACAAAACTGATTCTTGGCAACTGGAAAATAAACTAGCTTTCATTCCATACAACTACTATGAGTTTCCAGTCAGCTGTTCATCCACATATCCCACATTCCACTACAACACTGAAATCTCCTTTGAACATCCCCAAATGAAAACAAAACAGGCTATATAAACATTGGTGCGTGCTGCTACATAAAATGAATTCCTTAAGTAAGATAAAAGGTGAAGAAATATCCTCCCTTTTCTTTAAAGAARAGAGACATCTGAATGGTTTTGTTCCCTGTCTGAAGTAGTGGTAACCTTTTACCAAAGATGTGGGGGCCAAGGGGAATCAGTTTCTAAAATACTCCAGGATTATTTACCACAGATACGTGAAGATTTACTTGCTGAAAGAAGATGGAACCAAATCTGAAGTTGTGGATGCTGTAGTGCAGGTACCCATTCTCTAGGGCAGACCGACAGCGATACTACAAAGAGAGAATTTAATGAAACAAACACCATCCCGGCTGCCTGGCACGTCRCCCACGCTCCGGCAGCGCCGGTTCAGCCTGGCACAGCAAGGGGCTCRGTGGGCACGAGCTTCCCGACCTAATTTGGCTCTGAAAACATACCTGCAGAAATCCGCACCAGGACAAGACAACCTGTACTTCKCAGCTAAGTCCTAAGAAAATAGACAAAGCTGAGGGCTGACGCACAAAAACCTGCTTGTCCTGGGATGTGTTCTTATCCAGGCTGGGATGGTCTCACGGATGTTTCTGAAGGAATTGATCTGTGAAGGCCTCAGTGATGGCCTCAGGACCCCATCAGCAGCTACACCGCTATCCAGTTAGGGACACCAGGATGTTAAATGACCCTGCAGCCCGTGTGCGGTGGAAGGCACCACCACGGAGGGTGCTGCCAAACGGCCACTTTCCAGAGGGGGGACCCGGACCCACGGAAGCAGCCAGAGCTCCACGTACAGCAGGAGCTGCCAGGGCCTGCAGGGCACCTCTCCCTACCATCACACACAACCAGGGTTTATTTGTACCTGTCAAGGAAGGAATTTCTAACATAAATACCTCAAAGTGACCTTTTTAGAGCCTGGAGAAAACGTTTCCAATGCATCCAGYCCGCGCTGCCTGCCCAGCTTCCTCCATTTTGTTTGAAATATGGGGAGATTTTTATCACAACAAAGGAGTCAAGAAAAAGCGTAAACTGCCAAAGTGCATTCTCACCCTCATCTGGAAATTACCCTCTCCCATTAGCACCATCACTCGCTGAACAACCAGTGCTATTCTGCCACCCATTCCCAAGAAAGCTGCTAAGAACCACCTTACTGGACTCAGCTCGGTGGGTTCCTTACAAAGCCTCCCTGGAAAGACCCTGGGAAGCAGGGCAGGGATGCAGCATGGCACACACAGTGCCCATGGCTTGTTATCAAGGATATCCAGCTTCCCAAGCTAAGGGGAAAAGTCATTTCCCCCAGGCTAAGCGAAAAATATATATAATATATATACACTGAGAAATACATACTGCAGGTTGCAGTATATAGAATAGCTATATAGGTAGGTACTGAGTACAAAGATAAACAGAAAAAATACCCTTTCATTAAAACTGCCTGCAGTTTCAACTGCTTTGAATCACAATAATACCTGAACTATAAGAATGCTTCCTATATCTATCTAATCCTGAAGTGACAGAAAGCCACAGGCCTGAAAACAGGGGCTCCATTTTCTACCTGGAACTGTCGGGAATTCTGAGCCCAAGTCTCACAGCAACACATTGGATTTTCATTGGATTTTGGAAAGTGCTTCCTAGTTGGTAGAGGTCTCTGGAGTTCCACAGTAACTCTGCAGATCATTTACTCCTTAAGGAAAGGGTCACTCATCACGAATTTRCAGTCCCTCTAAATGACAAATCTGACTAAACCGAGTTGCCTCAGGCTATGTGAAGTGACACTCCACTGTGGGCAGCAGCAGAAGCAGCAGCTCAGGAGATTTATTCGCAGCGTGAACCGCRCGGTCCCTTGTGCACACTGCAATCTGCACTGACACTTCCAGCAAACAGACAGAAGAATGGATTTTGTTTTACAGTGTGTTTTGAGTCCTGCTGTTCCTGTTCAAGCTTCTCTGCAAGTAAAACCCTRGAATTATTATTGCAAGACAATGGAAGCACAACAAACATTGATTTTCATTTCGAGCCCTGCCGGAAGACCACCCAGAACCTAACAACCCACATGAGGCATCTCCCCATCCTCACATCCTCCTCTGGGGTTTACTACAACTGGGATGTGTGAATGAGAAGGAATGCTTTAGATTGGCACGCAGAGGCTTAAACACACAGCAGCCCATGAAAGGTCAGAAGTGATTTACAGAAACTCTAAAAATAAACACTCATTTGGACTTCGGCAATGAAGC